TAAAAGATGATAAGCATGATATGAATCTAAAATATCATGCTAAATGTTCATCTTCTCCAGCATCTTCACGTGAGAAAGCTTGAAGGTAAGAAAATATTTTTATTTTCAATTTTTGAGCTAATTCCTTTGCAATTGGGGTTATGTCGTGAAATAGGAAAGTGATCTACGCGAAAAACGCTATCATTTGGTACCAATATTTCTTTATAATTTTGTTGGATTTCAAAGATCCCAAATCTAAGGGTTTCTGTTCATATAAGGGATCATGAAATTGATGATGAATCTTGATGTTTTTGAGGTTGTAGATTCATATTCAAGCTTGATTGATGGTTATAACATGTTCAATCTTCCTAGAATTAATTCTATAAAATTCGTCCAACTATCAAGTTGGAGAACTTTTTGTTTTGATGAAAGATAATTAGGGATTTGATTGTAGAAATGTTTTAAGGTTGATTGAAAGTTGATTTCATGCTTGAATCGAATCAAAATCGATTAAAATCATGGAAAACCTAGTTTTAATCTTTAAACCATTAGGCTTTGGTCTTAAAGGATGAGAAAAACTATGGAAAAATTACATATGGGTAGGAAATGATGAATGAAATATTCTACAAGCCTTAGAAAAATTGGGTGACCATTTCGAAATTTTTGAAAAGTTGGAGATCAATTCGTAAATTCTAGAAAATTGAGGGGTTGTTGTATAAGTGTGGTATAATTGATGTACTATGCTGGAAATTGTTGATTGGGAATTTAAATGAGTGTTATATGTGAAAAATGACTATTTTGGAAGTTTGAAAAGATTAATGATTTAAGTACAATAATTTCATAGTTGGGGTACTTAAATATAATTATGATTTTGTAAAAGTATTTGAATGGTAATAATTTCAATGATGGAATTATTGGTATTAAGAATCTAGGTGGTAAAATGGTGAAGGACCATTTTGTGTAAATTGGAAAACTTGGTTCCAATGTTAAATGAATTATTAAGAGCTGATTATTTTGATAGATAATGAGTATCAAATATATTATGGAGTTATTTTGGGATATGTTTATGTTAGTAAAATACTAACATGTGTATCGTTATGAAATTGTGAATTATACAGATTATGATTGATTTGCGATTGAAGCAAGTCAAATGGGTTTATTGTGGACAATAGTGAGGCACATATTTTGAAAGATATAAGTGTCAATGTGAGTGTAATACATGCATGACATTATACATGGATGTTTTATACATCATCAGGAAGACTTGCGATAAGTCGACCTTGTTTATGTTGACATGATATTTATGTCATTTACCATATATTTGACATATTTTAAAAATGTCAAAGGTTGAAAATATAATGCATTGATTATGAAAATTGTGATATTTTACCATGAATATTATTTCGGGTATGAACTGCCCAATGTTAAATTATTATAATATACTTTGCCATGGATGGATCAAATAAAATTGATTATATGCCCAAGTATGTTATTGAGGATTAGTGGTATTAATGGCGTGTCATAGAGTCTAGCATCTGCAGAATTGAGTAGTACTATAGTGTCAAAGAAGATACATAGTACAAGTTAGGTGGGTAAAACCCGACCTCAGCACTACGGTGCATTATTAGGTGAGCAAAGCACGACCTCAGCACTTCGGTGCGACAATTGACTCCTATATCGGGTTCCTCATATAGTTATGCTATGGGCTATGATTTATGGTTTATTGGTTAATAAATGGTAACCAGGCAAATAAGCTTAAGAGCTTATGGAATAATGGCAAGTATATTGGTAAAATAAGCTTACGAACTTATGGTATTAAATGGTAAGTATATTGGTAAAATAAGCTTACGAGCTTATGGGATAAATGGTAAGAGATTTTATCTTATTTTGATCATGGAAAAATGTTAGATATGTTTGTAACATGATCTAATGGCATTTGTTTTTGACTTTGAAAATCATACATGAATTGTATTGCATTGTTTGTTGTTTTAATTGCCTCACTAAGTATATACTTAGTGTGTGATAATTTTCACGCGTAGGTAAAAAGCCAGTAGTAGAATAAAGAGTTCGGAATGACATCAAGCATCGAGGAGTATATTTCAATATCAGTAAGACATCCTATGATGAAATTTGATTTAGATAGTGGCATGTAATTTGATAATGTTTAATTTGTTTTGTTGAATTAATTTGAAAACAAATTGATAAATTGATAGTGATGAAAGGTTAATTTTTATGAGTTTTATATGTAATTTTCTGAATTTACTATAGCAGTCACTGTAGCAGTACTGTAGTTGTAGCAATGCATCGGTACACTGTTCACTGTTCACGGGTACTGTTCATCAATATTCACAAAAAAAATCTTTTGAATTAAATTTACTATAACAAAATATAAATTATATGATATGATATTTTTATAATATCAATTATCATTTTAAGAAAATAAATTTTAAATCGATTTTTCTTGCAAATGATTTTTAAAAATTAGGGTGACATCTATAATATGTATAGGTATAATTATACGGGTTTTGGGTGTTACAAAAAGACCATGAGAGATACTAAGCTAGTGAGGTCATCTCAAATGTCAAACAAGAGGGCCAAAAACAACTTGAGGTGGTGGAGGTCTACACTAGGCAAGTCTAGAAGGCCCGAGCATAGTTCAAATAGTGGGGATAGGTCTGACCCTCGTAGGAGGCCCCTGATGTTAGTTTTTTGGGGTAAGTGCTAGTGGTTTACCGAGGGTCTTCACCCACTCCATCTGTGCTCACTATGAGATGAGAAACCCGAGGATGTACCAGAATGAGATGAAGGGTTGCTTTAGTTGTGGCTCCTTAGACCACTTCAACTCAAAGATCCTCACCATTTGTTTAGCGTGGTCGAGGTCCTTTGAGAGGTGGTGACGTTACGTCTGGGCAGCATAGCAGTTGGACAACTAGATCAGTAGTCGGTGTTGAGCCGAGAATAGCTTCGAGACAGTATGTTGTGAGAGCTCGAGAGGATTGTTATGCTACAGATGTGATCTCTTATACATTTACGATATTTTTCATTCCAGTTAGAGCATGAATAGATTAGGGTTCCACCCAGTCCTACATCTGTCACGACCTAGATTGAGAGATGAATATCGTAGCAGAGGACTTAGAGCTAGGAGTTCTAGTATCTAGTCCTATAGATCTAGACGTTTTGGTAGATAAGATTCACCGACATGCCCAAACAAAATTCAGGATCATATCTTCTTAATAGACCTGATGGAGTTACTGTTTCAGGAATTGGATAGGATCTTGGGTATGAACTGGCTATCCGAGCATGACGCGACTTTGAAGTGCAAGGCTAGGCAACTCAAGCTCAGGAAATATTATGATACTAAGTTAGTAATAATTAGTGTAAGGTCGGGTGTTCTTCAAAAATTGTTTTAGCCAAAAGGGCACAGCGAATGATCGATCAAGGTTGTGAAGATTTTTTTTGGCTTACGTGGTTGACACCAGAATTTCAGTTCCGTCACTTAAAGATATTTGTATCGTACGAGATTTCCTTGATGTGTATCCAAAAGAGTTACCAGGTCTACCACCCGATCACGAGTTAGAGTTAGGTATTGAAGTGTTACTAGGTTCAACTCTAGTGTCTATTGTTTTATACCATATGGCACTGACAGAGCTAAAGGAGTTAAAGACAAAAAACCAAGGGTTGCTAGAGAAGGGTTTCATCCGATCGAGCATATCTTTATGGGAGCATCAGTTTTGTTTGTCAAGAAGAAAGATGCGTCAATGAGGTTGTGCATCAACTACATATAAATGAATAAAGTGACTATTTAGAATAGTTATCCCTTTCCTAAGATCGACGATCTCTTTGACCAACTTAGGGGAGCACGCGTATTCTCCAAGATTGACCTAAGTTTGGGATACTACCAGCTAAAAGTCAAGGATATTGATGTAGGAAGAGTTGACTTTCAAAATAAGGTATGGTCAATATGAATTCTTGTTAATGCCACTTGGACCCACCAACACCCCGACGACCAGGGATGGGCATGGGTCGGGTTAGGTCGGGTTTTTGATCCACCCGACCCGACCCGAGAATAAGAGAGCCTCCACCCGAGACCCGACCAAAACAAGGTTTCACCATACCTGACCCGACCCGAATATATGACATAGAAACCCGACCCGACCCGAAATTAATAAAAAAATATTTTTATTCAATAAAAACAGTAACTTAATTAAAAAATAATTATATATAGAGGGGTATTATTGTAATTATCCCTAAATATATAGGGTAAAATTATATATTTTTTTCGGGTCGGGTCAGATTTTTTCACCCTAAACTCGAACCCGACCCGACCCGACCCGAACACCACATAAAAAAAACCCCCTACCCGACCCGACCCGGACCCGAATTTTTTTTAGAAAAATCCAACCCGATCGGGTCGGGTCAGGTTTAAATGCCCATCCCTACCGAAGACATTTATGGACTTGATTAATCGAGTCTTCCACTAGTACCTAGGTCAGTTCATGGTGGTCTTCATAGATTAAATCCTCGTGTACTTGCGATCAGGAGCATGGCCAGTGTATTCGGTTCGATTCAGGTTTTTATTAAAAATTAAACCAAACTGTATTAAACGAACTTTTAAAATTAAAACCAAAACTGAAAACAAAATATATAAAACAGAACGATTCGGCTCGATAAAGCGGTTTTTGAAAAACCGAAAAGATTATTAGACATGCTTAAAAATTCATGGGCTCATTGGGCTGCTTTGGTTAGTCGATGCAAAATTTTTCCCTGATATGTGATATTCAAATCCAAGTCAAAGTAAAAAAAAAAACTATAATTCAAATATCCACATAAAAAACTATCCAAGTCAAATTCATCTATATATTCCAAATCAAACAAAGAAGTATTTCAAATAAAAAGCAGAACCATACTGTTTGGTTCTCACTACAAAATTGAACAACGAAATTAAACTATAATTCAATTATCCAAGTTAAATAAACAGTTACTTAAACTAAAAGAATTCTTCTCTAACAAAAAGAATAACAGTATAGAACAACAAAATTTCATCTATATTTCAACTCTCAAACAAAAAGGAATCTTCTCCAACAGTAGGCATCATGAATACACCCTACAAAAAAAAAATCAAATTCTTGAAAACGATAGAGAATAATCGTACAAATCCGCAAATACGACATATTCAATTATAACAGTACAAGTTATATCATTTTAAATAACAGTACAAATCATCAAATATAATAGTTGAAAATATTTTTTATAATACAAATTACTATTGATTTCTTACTTACCTTGTGAGTGTTCCATCTTCAATCAATCATCAATAGTCATCATTGTTTCATTTAACTTCAAATCTTCGAAACCTATTAATAATCAAAATAATATTATAAGTAGAGATATTTAAATAAATGAGAAAACATATTTACAAGCATTTATATGATTATCATGTACCACTCTCAATGTTCTCCATTTCTTCAATTTGTTCCTCTTTTTGGATTGCTACGAGTGATGATCTCAACCAGTTTTGTGCACAAATGAGGCACTCAATAATTTTTGGGTTAAGGAACTCCGAAATGGATCAAGAACATGACCTCCAGTGTTGAAAGCAGATTCTAAAACCATTGTAGACACAGGAATTGCAAAAATATCTCGAACCATTAAAGAAATTATAGGATAGGTCTTGCTTTTGTTCTTCCACCAATCAAGCAAATGAAACTTCTTATCATCGGGTTCACCTTTGTCCTCCAAATACTTTTTCAAGCTTAGATTTTCCTTCACTAAACACACTTCCAGCCCTCTTCCTTTTATATTTGGTCTTGGAATAAGCAAATAAATCAAGATGCTCATCATTCTCAGCCCTAAAGAGATTAGGTTGAGAACTTACACTTGTTTCACTTTGGGATATACCACTCAACAAACTATAATGATCAAACAACTCATTTAAAGTTTGTTTTACAATTTCAGTCAACTGCTCAGCTTTCTTAGCATTATAAACTTCTTCAATCACAAAGATTACATAATACATCTTATGTCTAGGATCTAAAATCATAAAAATAAATAAGAGTGATTTAAGATTTTTCACATCTCCCCAATACTTGTGATATTTTTCCCTCATATTTGCTACCATCTTGGTTTTAAAATACGAGATGCGCTCTGATGCGTTTAGTGTCCCGGGAGCCGATGTGTGATGCGCTCGCATCACGAACCCGATGCGTCAATTTTCATAAAAAAAATACTTTTGAACTAATTTTATACCTTGTAAATACTTATATATCAAAAATACTTCAATTAATACCAAAAGTAGTTTAATAGTACTTCATAAATGTTGAAAAACATAATAGACAAGTACGCGTAGGAAAATCAAAACAACAAAAGACAAATCAACAATAGCCCCCACTTCCCTTTCCCCCCACAAAGTTCTCCAAACTTTCTCTAGTCACAAACTAAATGTCTCCAAGATCCCCCATCATCAAACCCGAGCACGTCTCCATCTCCCTCATCATCATCAGTCACTCCAATGTCTTCCTCCATCTCTTCTTCATCAACAAGAACGAGTCTTTTTCCTTTATCATTTCTCGATGGGTCGACCCCATCATCACCTCCTCTTCTTGATCCTCTAGTGAAATGACTTGGCTCATTAGCCCCGGAAGCTCTACCCACCGCATCTCATATAAGATCATCATCAAGAAACACCAAATCTTCTTCATCTTCATCATTTTCCATTCTACCCATCAACCATTCATTACTTTCATCAATATCATCCAAAGCAATAAGATCAGGGGTTCTCTTTCGGCGTTGCAATGAATGATTGAATTTAACATAAACCATATCATTCAATCTTTCTTGTGCCAACCTATTGCACTTCTTGGTGTGAAGCTATCAAAAATTAAATTGTATGTTAATTGATAATATATTTTAATTAAAGTACGAAATTGGGATATATATACACTTACGTGTTGAAAAATGCCCAAATTTCTTTCACAACTTGTGGCACTACAAGTAAGACTAAGAACTCGTATGACAAACTTTTGCAAGTTAGGAGCCGAAGCTCCATATGTTTCCCACCATTCCGCTACAAGGAGCAAAAAATTACAAGAGTAAAATCAGTATGCATAAGAGTAATAACATATTTTTAATTTAATACATTTATAAAATTATTCTTACCCAGTGCCATTTGCTTCCTTTGCCTAATAGCCGAACTTTTACCAAACATCCCTTTGGCTTTTTTGTACTTGTTTAATTCTCTTATGGATTGGTCTTCTACTTGAGCATTCGGGGACAACCTTTCAATGCAAGATTGTAAATCATCCTTTATTTCTTCACAACTTTCAATCTGTTTCACATCATCATAGAAAATGGATGGGTTTAAGTAATGGCCCGCGGCATGCAAAGGTCGGTGGAGTTGATGTTCCCACCTATGGTCAATGATATCAAATGTTTTTTTGTAAGGATCTTCTTGATTTGGGAAGCTTCTAGCAATACTCTCCTTGGCCTTATCCATGGCTTCATAAATATAACACATGGCCGGCCTTTTTTCCCATCAACCAATCTAAGAACACTAACAAGAGGACCCGTCAACTCGAGTGTATATGCAATGTTCCTCTAAAAGGTCTCTTGTAAAAAGTAAGAATGCACCAATTTGCCCTTATGTTCCTTAGACCACTTGCTCTCCATCCATTCTTGAGAAGTAACCATCTTCCTCAAGTTATTATTTTGCTTGTGAAATTGAAGGAGAGTGATAAAGGATGTTGCAAATCGAGTAATCGCGGGCCTATGCAAGTTCCTTTGATTTGTTAACTTCCTCATCGAGTTTACTAGAGCAACAAAACTATATATATACCTGTTTGCCGACATTGCCTTTTTCAAATAATTTTTCACCTGCGAAATTTGCTTCCTAATATCTTCTAACATGAGATCTATGCAATGTGCCGCACATAGAGTCCAGTAAAGATGTTTTCTAGTAGCTTCTAACATCTTTCCTACAAAGTTTAAAATAAACAATTAGGTGGCATTATATATATATATATGAAAGAGAAATACTAAATTAGTAAATGTTAGTAATTTAGTAGTATGTTACACGCTTTTACATAGGCGGATGCATTATCAGTGATCACTTCCACCACATTCTCTTCGCCAACTTCATCTACCATTTTGTCAAGAATCCCAAACAACAAGTTAGCATCATTGGAGACATCCGAAACATCCATCGATTTAACAAATATGGAACCCTTTGGAGAGTTCACCATGAAGTTAACGATGTCTTTTTGGACAACCGAATCTCTCCATCTATCCGATAGAATTGAGCAACCTTTATCGGCCCATTCTTTCTTGTGTTCGTTGACTTGCTCTTCCACCTCTTTTACTTCTTGCTTGAGTAATGGAACTCTAAGCTCATACATACTTGGTGATTTCATTCCCGGACCAAATTGTCCTATAGCTTCAATTATAACCTTAAAGCTATCATAATTTGCAGCATTAAAAAGAATGCTCGCATCATAGAACCATCGTGCTATATATTTACAAACTTTTTCCCTCAACTCTTTTTGAACCGCGACATTGATAGTTTGTTACTTCCCTCATTTTCCAACTTTTCCTCCTTTGACAACATATTTGGGATTTGGAGAGAAGAACTTATCTATAGGACCATTTTGTCTTGGCTTTTTTCTTTGAGACATCTTGCTCCTACCCCTTGCACTTCAACACAATCATCATCTTCATCAAGATCATAGTCACTATAGTTGAATCTTCTTGAGTAAGTTGAGTTCATCTTTTTTTTCTATGGTTTCCATTTCTTTTTCTTTTTTTTGCATGAAAGACCTCATCTCTTCCTTTACATGCTCTGGACAGTTTAGGTAACTAATAACATCCGGCAAACCACCAATGAAATGTCATTTCATTAGATACACACCACCCTTCACTACTTTAGGACAAAAATGGCAACGAAAATTGTTTCTGTTGCTAGGCTCTTGCGTAGAATATTTCCTAGTTGGATCAGTTGATTTGTTGGTTGTATTTGAACCCGTTGTGGTAGCACTAGGAGTTGGTTCCATACTAAAAATCACAAAAAACGACTTACTAAAACACATAAAAACTTAAGCAAGTAGCAAAACAATCAAACACCCCAGCAACAAAACATTGAAATATAAATAGATTAGCAACATTTAAACAAACTTTCTGATTATTGAACAAATGAACAGGCGAACAACAACATTAAGCATAATTAAATCAACATATAAGTTACAAAAAAGAATCAAACACCTCAGAAGCAGAAGCATTCAAGTTCAAATCAACATATAAGTTACAAAAATCAGAAGAAGCATGTAAATAAATTTGAAAAAAAGACAATCATCATAAAAATAGTAAAATCGCAGGAAAAAAACAGTAAAAATAGAAGAAGCGTGGTTGAACAACATAGCAGATTAGCTTTCTGATTATTGAACAACAATACTCGATAGAACAAAAAAAACAGTAACATCATTAATGTTAAATCGCATAATCATGTTTGACCAACATAGCAGAAGCATGATGAAATCGCAAGATTAATGTTAAGAAATAGTAAAATCGATGATAAAAGTTAAAAAAATCGAGACTTACCTTCAAGTTTCTTCAATGGAAGACCTTCAATTGCAGGTGGGAAAGCTTGATGGAGGGAAAATTGGAGGATGCTTCGATGGAGGGAAAACAACAACCACGTGACATTTTATTAGAGATTTAGGTCAATTGAATCTAGGCTTTTTAAGCCCATTCCAGCAATTAAGCTAGAAACATAAACTAGTCCAACTAAAAGCCCAAAAAAAATTTACTGAACGCATCAGTCGCATCGGATCGCAACAGTCCGCATTATGTACCCCCTACCGCATCAGGCTGCCAAATGCGCTTTGACCATCGCAACGGCCGCATCACGCATCAGGCGCACCTGATGCGCACTTTTTTAAACCAAGGCTACCATAAGCTTTATGCTTGAGTTAGGATCATTTAGCTTGTCATTAATTCTAATTCCAATGGCAAACACAACATAAAAATAAAAATTGCTAGTAACATATGAAGAATCGGACAGTTTCAATGTTGCGTCATAAAAGGCTCTTAAAAATGGCAATAAAGCACGAGCATGCTACCAATCTAATTTAGTAGGTAAACCATTCATTCTTGAACTTTTTTTTTTATAGAAGTTGAAGGTCTCATTAAAAACTCCCTTCGTATTCGTCCACATACTAAGAAGTATGTTAACGAGCATACGAAGGAAGAAAAGAGTACCTCATATTTCATTGAATAAAACACCTCATTACATATGAAAACACGAAATACCCTCAAACTAGGATATACGCCATTATTCATTCTTGAACTTGAAAGCTTATCTCTATACTTAAAATCTTGCTCCCCCAACCTATCAAAAGTTGTTTCAAATTTCAAAGCAGCATCTAGCATTAAAAATGTTGAGTTCCATCTAGTTTCAACATCCAAGCAAACTATACCCTTACTCTCAATTTTTTCTTGCTCAACACACAATTTAAACCTTTGCATCCGAGCTGGTGATGACCTAACATATCTTACAGCAGAATTAATTCTAAAAATCGAATCATCCAAATCTTTCAAACCTTCTTTGACAATTAGATTTAATGTGTGCACAACACCTCATATGAAGATAAGCACTCCCTAAAATGCTTTGTTTTCAATTGTTTAGACTTTTTTTATGTACATGATTGCAACATCATTGGAGCTAGCATTATCTACTATAATTGTGAGAACCTTATCTATTCCCCACTCAAGCAAGTGTTTTCAATACATTTTCCTATCACATCACCCGAATAACTAGGAATGGGAGTAAAATTTAAGATTCGCTTATGCAATTTCCATTCATCATCAACAAAATGAACTGTGAGACACAAGTAACTAAGGTTTTGCCTAGAAGTCCATATATCAGTAGTGAGAGAAACCCTTTGATTGAAACTCTTAAAATACTTGAAAAGTTTATCTTTTTCTTCTAAGTAAATTTCCATGCAATCCTTTGTTATATTGAACCTAAAGGGAACTTGAAATTTAGGATGCATCATATTGCAAAAATCACGAAATCCTTCATGCTCAACAACTCTAAAAGGTACTTCATCCATGATAAACATCCTAGCACAATATTGTCTACAGAGTGTTTGATCAAATTTCCAAATAACTGAACCTGAATTTTTCTGCCCATCCTCCTCTGATTTGAAACATAAATTCTGTTGTTTTTCATCTACCTTGTTAAAAGGGTACTTAGGACAACGTTTCATAAGATTATGCATAACACTAGTTCTACTCTTAGTTGGACATTTAAGGGTTTTTCCACAATAATTATAGCTACATTGTGGAATATCTCCAACTACACAAGGTAATTTTGTAGGATGTTCCCAAACTATAGAACTAGTGGTACCCAACCT